AAAATGTTAATTTTTTTCTAACCTCCTGCAAGTGTAAAAGTTATATATAGTTGGTATTTCCTTTCTGCAATATCAAAATCTGATATTCATGTAGCTTCATGCACGAGAATTAACTGAATACGCGTAAATCTTTGTTATTTTATGAATTTTATTCTCCAACATCTTTCTTTAAAACTAACAGTGGTTTAGGAGAATCAATGCAGTAAAGTGACAACCATATTTCAATGAAGGAAACTACAGGTGTACCTTCAGTCTTGGCGCACTCCTCACAGCAGTCGCAGGGATCCTTGAGGACATCCCCCAAACACTTGCCCCTGATGTCGGGACACTGGTCCAGCTTACATGGAGGACACTTCCCCAGAGCCTTCCTCCCCTCCACCGCCACCGCTGTCACCAGTACCAACAACAAGCCTCCCCAGACCCTCATGTCCATGCCTTACTCAGGTTTTCCTTGCTAGAGTTTAGATACCAAGATGCTACAGAGAGACTGCAGGAGCTGCACCCTGTCTGGACTCAGACAGGAGGCTTAGTGTGTGGGGGGCCCAGCCTGGGGAGACGGCTATATTACCGTAGAATGGAAAACATTTACCCGTGTTAAATGGTGACAGAATTATCAAACAAGACACAATGGCGAAAGGTTTTCAGTCTGGGAGACGATTTACTATGGAACAGATGTTTTCTAGTTTGGTAATGTCATTTCATTGAATTTTGTATTTCTACTTGAGTTTTTCTGTTTGGAAAATTTTACAGTTTACAGTAGGGAGATGCTGTCATCCAAGAGCAAACACCTTGGCATTCCTGTATGCTAGGGATGTGCCACTATTACCATAGGGGTTTCAGGATTTGGGCGTAAATGCACAGTAACAAAGGATTGTAATGTGACCATATCCAAGCCCATTACTGAAACTTTCAAAGTAAATGGTGGTGTTTTCTTTGTAGAAAAAAAGTAATACAATGATTTTGTTCAGTTGGATAGTGTTATGACTGGTGTCTAAGACTTGGATGTTACATGTATGTGTGTAAATATAAGTAAGTTACATATGTCGGAGGCATTAATGTGAGGCATTCTTGGAACTTGGCTTAGGTCCAATCAGTACTAACTAGGAGGTAATCTATAAAATCAAAGAAATTTTCACCAGAAATACAATTACAAGTACATTGCTAGAAGCATCGTCTTCCAATAGTCCAGTCTGTCTTTCCCCAATGTTCGGAATAGAATGGTCCTGATAGGCTGGTGGGAATGAATCACTGGTGTCAGTTACACTTCTAAAATCAACAAACAGCTTCCTTTACTTCAACTAAAAAGCCTATTGTTGGCTGTAAATAATCTATCTTAGTACCCTTTCACCCATTCGTTTATTGTTTGATGTCTTGTGCTTGGAATATTGCAACTGAGATATTAGACAAGAAAGTTTGAAAAGAAAAACAAATGGAGAAAAAAACTGAACTGTTCCTTGCTGGAGAGACTGCATCAGGAAGGGGTTGGGGGTTGGGTAAGGGTAGTACAGTTGCCTTGGTATGCCATAGAAAAACATTTTGCGTAGATCTGCAGAGAACTGTGGCCAATTGATTCATCTCAGTTCACATGTATTAAAGGTTATTTTCAACTATGAAGTAAGTTGAGCAATATTCAAAGACTTGGCACCCCTAGTATCCTTTCCATAAAGTTATAAATGATAATATTATGTTTCTCTGTCGAGTGATAAGTGGACAGAATATAGGACAATCTAATGAAGAGACATCCAGTCAAGACCATGTTATCCAATGGTTTATGTGTATGAGGAGAGGAGGTGGCTACTGATACCTCCCACTAGTCTCCCAGCTATCATTCTCAAAGTGTTAAGTATTCGTCTTGCAGATAAAGCAGCTGTAATTCTAACTTATTATCCTTTCGATTGAGATGTTGAAGTAAAAAAGCCAAAGAATGTGCCAAGGCCTTTTCACAAGCTAACATCAGTTAAGGACAAATGTAATATCTACTTAACAGCAATTACGAAATCAATAGATCGACGAATATATCCTTTTTGATCAAGTCTCTCCGTGACAATGTTCAGCTTTTCGAAGATCGTCTCTGCCTCACAGTTCTTCTTCCAGCACCTCCAAATAGGCCGTGCTGGTGTCATTTCCAAATTCGTTGGCAGCGAAACACTGGTATATGCCAGCATTGGTCTTC